CTCTCGGTAGGAGGAGGTTCTGAAGACCTATGCTTGGACCAAAACTGATCAATCTTGCCACCACAAGCACGATCCGGTAATAAAGTTGTGCTTTATTTTTTTGATTCGACTGAAGTGGAAGCTGCATTGCAAAGAATCGGGCAACTTTTTCTTTTATTTTCGCTCGTCGTCACATGTGGTCTGGTGTGGCGATTAGAGGCAACCAATAAGGTACATAAATTTATCTTTCGAAAGATAGAGAGGAAAAAAGAGTGGACTGTGGAAGAATAAGGAGCACTTTTGGTTGTATAGTTTTTGCTATTATTATCCTATGAACAATTCTTTCTTTTAATTCGTGCATCATTCAATTTATGTTCTTCATTCACTAAACTCGAATTTCAGCTTGAAAGTTCCGTGAAATTATGAAAAATCATGATTTTTTTTTCTAGCTCTTTAGTTTGAAAATATTTCACTTTCTTTTTTAAAAAAAAATAACTTAAAGTATTTTGATCTAAAGTTATTACTTTAGCATTCATTTTCTTATCTTAATTTCTATTACATTCTTTTTTATAATTTTGTTCGTACATAAAATGTTGGACTTCCGAGTATTGAAGTAATCTTCCACTAGCTTCAGCAAAATTAATGCAATAATTATTTGAAGCCACATTATTTCTTAATAAATATAATTTGATTTTTTTTAATATAAGTAGAAAGCATTGCTAGGTTAAATCGCCTAGTATTACATTGAGATTGGTCCTCTAAATCCCTTTTGAGAAAATCAAGTAGAAATCCAGGAGGGCTTTCATAGAGAGAGAGCTTGAATGAGGAGCGAAAAGTACTCTTGGCCAAGGTATTAACTGCACCATTTGTTTCACGAGGAACCCATTTGAACTCTAAAGCCCACGCTCGATGAAGGAACATCGTGATGGCTCGGACTAGAGGATTCGAGTTTGAAGAGATAGTGTCCGTGAAGAGCATCGAAACGAGTCTGGAATAATCAGATTGAACTTGGACAAATTCGTAGCCTAGATGCGAAGCTAATTGGAGACCATCGTGAACTGCCCAAAGCTCAGAATGGAGTGGATCAGCAACACCAATTGCTCGGCTGAAACCGTGCATCCAAGAGCCATGCTTATCCGAAAAATACCGGTTATAGTTGCGTGACCTGTGGTCGGGCAAAATGACCCATCTGTATTAAGCGCAATCCAGTTCAAGGGAGGTGGAGTCCATTGGTACGCTAGAGCAGGTTTCAGCATGATGAGCCGGAAAATCAAAATGAGACGGACAAATGCTGCTTGTTTCATAATGAAGAGCCCAGGCTAGGCTGCGATGGGCAATGTCTGATGGACAATACCTTCGGTTTGAGAATATAGTCTCACTTCTAGCTTTCCAATTGTACCAACACAAAGCAGCAAAAAGAAATACTCCAGCCTGCATTATGAGAGGGAGTGCTGCGAACCTTATTTAAATTTGATAGGATCCAATCTCGGACATCCAGATGGAAAAAAATCTGTCCTGACGAGATTAGGCAAGGCATCAATCCAAGTGTTCTTCGCAATAGGGCAGTCATGGAGGGCGTGAATCATTGTCTCGTTACTATCTCCACAAAGAAAGCATGCAGCATTATTAGCTATGAATCGCTGCTGTCGCTCGGAGTTGGCCAATAATTTTTCCTTGTACTCCAGCCAAAGGAAAATTCGAACCCTTTGAGGGACGGCAAGCTTCCAAAAAGTTTCCCAATGAGAGGAGAAAGGATCCCAACTACCTTGCATTAGAACTTCATATGCGTTACTGATAGAGAAAGTATCACTCCAACTCCAACTGGGAGAATAGAAAGTATCACTCCTACGCCAACTGGGAGAATCTGCGAAGTCATCCGAAATAGGGCCGCGAGCGCTAATGATGTGTGGGATTACATCCGATGGGAGAAGCGTGGACAACATAGGAATGTTCCATGTTGCATTAGCATAAAACTATTTTATAAATCTATTTCCTCCCCCTTAAGATAATAATACCCCTAAAATAATATAATTATTTTTGTATATAATTACACAGGTATAAAACTATTTATTTATTTTTAATAGTTTCAGATTTTATTAAAACTTATATAATTCCTATAAAATAAAAAGTAAAATAAAAATATTTTTAATTTTTTTTTATTTCGATTATTTATTATATATATGTTTGATTCAAGTTTTATTACATTTATTTGTTAGGGTTAATTTTCATAAAAGGTTTTCATATTATATTTTTTGTCTTCTATTAATTTTATCAAGTAATTTGATATGATATTTCATTGTACAACTCATACACGTAGCATGAATAAAAAAAAATTAAAGTAATTAACACGTACTTGCACAGTTTAAGTATGTACATCTCTCTATATCTTAATACCTAAAAATAAACACATAATTAGATTGATGTAAATATATTCATGTATTTTCAAAGAAATAAAAAATTAAATATAACAAATATATTAAGTTATTTGTGTACAACTTTGATTTAAAAAATATATGAAAATAATAGAAAATTATATTTTCTATGAATTTTCATGTAAATATTTTAACGTTAATATTGAGAATTCAACTTGTTAAAAATGAAAATATATCTCAATGACAACTTGATAAAACATACATTTTCTCAATCTTATATTCTTTCCACCAAATATTGTAATCTTACATTTTTGTCAACAAATCAAACAATTGTTAGAACAAAAATCATAATAAAATATGAATTAATCAATATCTAATATTGTCAAATCATCAAGAATAAAATATTAGATGCGGAAGCGTACCTGAATTAATTGATAGATTGAAATCTTTGAATCTTTCTTTAGTTGTTATCTTCCAAGAAGATATAATTCTCTTGAGTATAAATTTTTTGACGTGATAAGAGAAAATATGAGATTGTATATTTCTTAGGGATCATAACCCCTTTATATAGTTGATTTAAGAATCAATTATTGTTCGTATTTATAAATCTTCCATTCATCAAATTAAAGATACAACTTTAATAATATCTACATTTTTATTTTCATGATACTTTTAATACCTTATGACTTTATATCATATAACATAATTGGTTACTTAATTTGTGTCATATTTTATCATAACAATATACACTATAAATATGTACCCATAATTATGTATTTTAATCTAACAATCGCCCACTTGGACAATATATATTTCCTGATAAATGTGTAACCTTATGTGCTAAAAAATTATTATCATGCAATAGGTATTCTATAACATTTTTATCCATCAATTATATTCATATAAGATCAAAACGACTTTTGTCATATCAATCATTACTAGAAACATCGATGTTTATGTATATAAACACAGTCAAACAACATGTATCAATCACGAAACGTAACATAAAAATTATATGCAATGTGAACCGTATATGTATATTTCGAACTAATCTTTTTTAAACATTAATAAGATCAAGTTTATCAAAATCAGAGTGTTGACAAATCAAAATAAACTTTAACATAAATATCTTTAAAAATATTATAAATATTAGTACAAATTAAATATATTCAATCATTAGGTACCCATGCCACAGGAATAATCTTCCTTTGATGGTCTCCCATATTTGTTGCGCCAATCGACAGCCGACAGCCCGCCCCGCATGATATCTTCAAAGGATTGGGACCCACATGTCATAAGTAGAAGTTGATCCTAGCCGTTCAAATAAAACCTCCTCTCGTGCAAACAAATACGGCAAGCTTAAGGCGAACAAAAGAGGGGGTCAAGGGTTCAACGATAGAAAGGAAATCTGGTTTCTTAACTTTCCTCTGTTTGGAGACTTGAGAAAAAAATAGGCTTAATGCTCTTTTGGCCCTCATATTTAAAATAATAATAAATTTAGTCCTTATATTTTTTTCACTTAAATTTCAAACTTTTAAATTGGAGTCAATTATTTCATCTACTACTGATCTTAACGTAAATAATATTAGGATAGATTAAGCATTTAATACTTAAACTATCAATTTTAATCATTTTTAGTACATAAATTTTTAATTTTTCAAAACCTTTACTTAATGTTTAGTTTTTATTTTATTTTAATACACTAAAAATTCAACGTTAAATTTTGATTTTTTTAAAAGTTTAGATATTAAAACGAGCCAAAACTAATAATTTATGTACTAAACGCATTAAGTTTTTAACATGACGCTAAAATGAAATAAAAACTAAATGTTAGAATTAATTTTTTTTTAAAAAGTTTGGATATTAAAATTGACCAAAATCAATAGTTTAAGTACTAAATACGTAATTTACCTATTATATTGTGATTTATATAAGAAATCAAAAAATATTTTAAAATGAATAAATAATATTTAAACATTATAAGTGCTAAAAATGAAAAGAAAATATAAAATTATCCAAAATTCATTATTTTATAATAATTAATTTAATTTAATAAAAAATAAAAAAAAATAATAATCCTATTATAATAAAGAAAACAATCTCCCATCTCTTCTCTTCTCTTCTCTTCTCTTCTCTTCTCCATCATCGCCCATACCCTACATATCCAACCCCCACATGCAGATTTTGGTCGAAATTTCCGAGAAAATAAAACAAAGAATACATAAAGAGATATAACCGAGAAAGTTTATTCCCTGGGATGAATTTCTTTCAACTTTCCCAGATTTACCTTCACACGTTTCACAGCTTGTGTCATTTCAATGGATAATACATTGGCTAAAACAAAACAAATGAGGGGAGGGGGGGGGGAATGGCGACGGTGGGAAAGTTCCACGACTATTTTGAGGGATTGCTAGGCTAGCTATCAAATCTTTCTTTTGCCAGTTCAACGAAAAAAGTACACTGTTTAAACGTAGAGAGAGCTGTCATTCCTCGTGAATCGAAATCAATCTCACTAAAGAAATCTAATCTTTTTTTTTCATTTTGGGAGCAACCCAAATCAGGGAAAGAGAAATTAACCCAGAAATTAACTAGAAACGGAAACACATGGTTAGTTTCAGAATGAACAAGCATTAGTTTATTCTTCTTTGATTAAGCCAAAAAAACTTTAACGCTCCCTTCCTTTACGGATTTACAGACGGGACAAGAAACAAGCAATGGTTCACATGATTTGCAGGAGCAAAGGTGTCTGCAAGGTAAAAAGAGAACGCATGAGCTCTTAGAGTTGCACTGTTTACAAGCCATCTTACTGTCTCTGTCTTGTTGTTGATCATTGTTGCAGGACTCTTCGTCTTCAACTGCATTGTCTTTGGCTTGTTCGAGTCTTTTGCTAAGATCCATAGCCGTTGATTCATTGGCTTCAGCAAGTCTTTGCCATGACTTGCTTTCTCTTTCCACTTCTCTTAAGCATGCTTCGAGCTCCATTCTTTTATTTGTTGCTCGTGCCAAGTCTTCTTCTTTTCGAGTCAACAAATATAACGCCTTCGATTCCACAATCTTTAACAGATTCCCCAGCTGTTCATTCCTTTGCTTTCGTAACGCATATCTTAGTCTTTCGTTCTGAGTTTAAAAACATGTAAAAAAAGAATTTTTCAGCTGCGAAAATAGATAATACAGTTGACGTAAATGATATAATGAATTTCTTACCCGTAACTGAAGAAAACAATCAAGTTCCTGCCTTTGAATCTCCAGTTGAGCATCTAAAGGTTGAGAAACCGCCATGGAAACCAAGCTCTGAGCGTTTTGTTGAGAAGGAAACTCTTGAAGACTAAAACCAGCTTCGAATGAAGGAAGAATAGGCAAAGGCAAACCCATATTTTCATAACAAAACCGCGCTTGAACAGCCATAACAAGTATCGCCAGGCATTCATCAAACCTAAGCAGAACTAGAAAAAAGCTGAGGTTTTCTCTTTAAATCAAAAGAGACCACTTTTTTCTTAATCTGGATAAACCTTGTGCGTCTTTGTTGGTGTTGGGTTTTCTAGTTTAGCTGAAAATGAGCAGACAATGGTGGAAGAGAGCCGTGGATGGGTTATAAATAGAGTGGGAAAACAGACAAAAATCGTAGGAGAGAGAAACAAAGAGGACGTACGCATTCAGATTTTGTGCAGAAAGTCACAGAAGAAGCATAGGGTCTAAGGGGAGGAGAAGGGGGAAAGAGAAATTCAGTGGATTGGGACGTGAAAGGGTCAGACGTTATAGAGACGAAGGAATCAGAAGTTTGCTGAGTTTTGTCAGTTTTTGGTCATTGGAAAAGGCGGAATAATAGTTTCCATTAATTCCCGGCTATCTGTTATTCTAAATCAACAATAAATAGAATAAAGAAATAAAAACAATAAATAGCAACTCCTTTTTTATTAACCATTCTTTGATTAAAAAAAACTCTAAATAAATATTATAATTTTCATTGTTTAATCAACATTAAATCAAAACATATTATTGTTTCCTTTATTTTTATATTCTTATCGCTCAAATTTAGAATAAATGTTTTTCTAAAAGTATGAATTTGATAATAAAAAAATTGGGGAGACTTTACAACATAGAATATTCTCAACAGTTTAAACGGTATTAAGATTTAGGGTGAAATTGAAAAAATTTAAAGTTGAATCATAAAAATAGAAGCACAAACAAAGTTAAAGGACCAAAAATATAATTTATCCTAAAAATTAATATTTTTTAAATAATCTTTTTTTTTTGTAAATAAACAATACTAATACATTTTTATTGTTCTCCGATTAGAGGTTGGATTCGATTAAATTTTAAATATAATGATGTATATATAATTATGAAGCAGAGGGATGTGCAAATTGGGCATTTGTGTTCAGGGCTACGATGTTTAAGGTGGCTATGATGTAGGCCTGTAAACGAATCGAATGAACACGAATGAGAGTATGTTCATGTTCGTTTAACTTTAACCGAACAAATGAATAAACACAAACATAAACAAATGAATATTTCTTGTTCGAGTTCGTTCGCTAAGGAATGTAGCATGTTCGTGTTCGTTCATATTCGTTCATTTAATCATTTAAATGATAAATGAACGAACATAAACGAACTGATGTAAACGAACATAAACGAACACAATAAAAGAGCGTAAACGAACATAAATGAAAATAGATTCTTTTTTCTTTCCTAACAATTTTAGGATTATGTTATATTTAATTGTTTTGAGCTTTTTTTATTTGTATTTAAAATTAATTGAATTTTAAAATATTTATGAGTATCATATTAAAATTTATTAGGTTTTAATATTTTAAATGAATTTAGAGATATTGGGCTAAACATAAATGAACGCACATAAATGAACATAAATGAACGAATATAAACGAACATATTATCGAACATTCGCGAACTTAAATGAATAAACGAGCCCTCTGTTCATGTTCGTTCATTTAATTAAATGAACACAAAATATTATTTATGTTCGTACGTTTAATAAATAAAAAATTATAACTGAACTTTTATCGAACAATTTACAAACAGTTCGCTGAACGTTCGATTCGTTTACATGACTACTATGATGAGTTCCGATAATCAAATTTCAGCCTTTTTGTATTGGCGTGTTTAAGGGCTTAGAATAATGGGCTATAGTGTGGCGGAGACTGGTGTTCTGGGCCAGAAACGTCACCTCACTGTAGTAAACCCAGCTGCCACTCTGCTACGTGCATCACCGTCTTGGTTCTTTGGAATTAAGCAAAATTTCTTTTCAACATTTCCCACTGCTTAAATCGAGAAAAGAAAACATCGAAAGTAGATCAGCAACTATGTCAGCCATTTCACACAGCGTTCAGATTGATAAACACTGGGGATTTTGGGGGGGGGGGGCTGCAAGCCGTATTTTCAGTCATAATGGTAACCCACAATCGCCTGCCCAATTCACAGCAGACTGAAGAATAAACTTGCAATTTAATTAAGTAATTGATTGATTAACATCACACAAAAACTACAATCAACCATTCACAGCTTTTGCCCTAAACCACCAATGCATTAACTTGTTTACTCCTCAACAAGTTATTAATCTTCTTTTTTCTTGCAGACGTATCGAAATGTGAAGACAACAAACAGAGTTCATGTACATGGTTTAATTGTTTTGAATGGAAGAGTATATTTTTAGGATCCAATTTTATTTTTACTCTTAATTTAATGCCGTTGGTATGACTGTTTGAATTCGGGTATTTTCAATATAAATACCCGATAATTTTAAATCGGATAATCGAGTCGAGTTGAATCGTTCGAATCGTGTATTTTTTAACACCCTTAAAAAGTTGGAACAGATTCCAATTCACAAAACTCAAAAACAAAGTTAAATACACTTTTTTATCTATAATATGATTCTACTATGAGTCAGTGAAACTGCAGCAAGTGTTAGAAAAATATTGATGCCAAATGAAAACCTTAAACCCCAAATGAGAAAGACTAATCCCCATGCGACGATAGTGAAAAAAAATGAATTTGATCTAAATCTGAATTTAAAAAAGTGACCTTATAGAGTCAGGTCATGTTAAAACTCGTCAGATTTCAGTGAAATAATTATCTCTAATAATCATATTGTTTGTAAATAAACATTACATGATAAAAATGGAGTAATTCAAAACTTGATTAATTAAAATTAAATATTTTAAAAGTTTAATAAATAAGATAAATATGTTCAAAGTTGAGTAATAAAACTAACTGTAGAGCATACAAGTGATATCCCAATTACATGATATTATTTTTGTTGAATTCCTCAACTATTAAAAACTAGGACTGTAAATGAGACGAGACAGATCGCGAGCTACTCGAGATCGACTCGATCAAGGCTCGATAAATAATCGGATTGAATGGACTCGACTCGAGCTCGAGCTCGACTCGAGTTCTTAACGAGCCGAAACGAGCTACTCGATATTCGACTCGAAAAGCTCGAGAGCAACTCGAAAAAATTTTATATTATAATTTTAGATTTTTTAAAATTACATTATAAAAAATTTATTAAAAATACATTACTGATAATTATAAAATTTTAAAAATATACTAAAAATTCTATAATACAACTACCCTCAAATTTTAATTTTTTTAATTAAGCAACCTAAGTCCAATTGTTATATTGTATATTACTAAAAGAAAATTAAAAGCCCAATTAATTACGCACATATTAGATTACACCCTAAACTTTAAATCATAAACTATAAATCCTAAGTACTAAATCCTAAATCCTAAACCCTAAATTCTTAATCTGATTATGTGATAGGATACTAAAAGAAAAATAAAAGCTCATTTAATTAATCACATGTTAGATTACACCCTAAGCTATAAACTATACACTACAAACCCTAAATCCCAAACCATAAACCCAAAGCCTTAAGCCTTAAGCTCTAAACCCTAAACCCTTAATTCGATTATGTGATAGGGGTTAAGTTATGCACATGAAGGTAACATACAAATTATGCAAAATGAAATTAATGAAATTAACAAGGGTTTATATGTAAATAAACTAATAAATCAAACTTGGTCAAATCAATAAATAGGTTCATTATCAAAACAAACGGTGATCAAAACATCAATTTTATTTGATTGTTACATCTTTAATTTCTTGAAAACAATTAATTTGATTAAACAATTCATTTATTCATTTGAAAAGGTCATGCATTTTTTTGTCTCAATTGTCAAGAGACCTAGAGATATCTCTCTTACAATAAGAAGGAAACATTTTATTTTAATTGATCATATCTCAATATATGATTCTCATTATATATGAATTTGATTTGTATCTTATACACATATTTATCTTTTGAATATCAATCAAACTTAATATTAAGTCCAATATATTATTGTGCCCATAATAATAATCAATTCGACTTTAGAATAATTAATAGTATTATTTAGGAAATATTATATAATAAAATACAAATGATTATAATATAAATTTAATTATCAAAATATTATGTCTATATAATATGCAGGAAATTATTACTAACAAGAGGATGTTATCAGAAATATTATGCCTTTGAATGAATACAGACCAGTTGCTTGCAATAAGCTTAGGCAAGAACTTTGTCATTCTAGCAACAAGATGCACTTGTTGATGACTGAACAACAATAAATTGAACGAAAATGTTTCATGCAACTAGGATTAGGAAAACCATAAGGGCTTGGTGCATTTCCTCCATCTTGAGAAAACATTGCATACTTGATTTACTGCTCACCCATAGATCTGTTTAGATCCACTTGATCTTCATAACAAAGACTGCACTGCAAAAGCTCTTGTAACATCTCCATTGATGTAATGTAACATTAACTTCATGATCAAAGGAATATCAAACCATTCTACCGACCCCTACAAGATATGATGTGGATATTAAAATCTTAACCTGAAACTAATGCCAAGAAAGAATGGGAAAAGGAAATGTACTTTCTTCCTTGATTTTGTTGTCTTTTTTAAATAGCTAAATTATAACTGCCAATGCAGGTGCGCAAGAGACCTTTGAACGAAAAGGAAATGGCAAAGAAAGAAGAAGATATCATTACTATACAGTCAAATTCCAATGCACTAACGGTTCATGAAAAAAAACTAAAGGTGATTAGTTGGCAGGGCTTCCTCTTTTTCCTGCAGTGCACTCACTAACTTGAGCTCCTAACCCACCAGTCATGTCATGCTATAGCATTTTCAAGAGATTACTTGTTTAAAATCAGAAACAAAGTTGATTGCTCTTTGCTTTGATTTTCATCGAAAACCCATACTAACTTTTTATATAAAAGTCTCAATCTCCACCATCATTATACGATTTATTGATTGATCTTGAATGAACTCAAAGTTTATAAATCTAAATATTTACAGAGCATAAATATAGGAAGAAAGGAAAAGTAAAAGATGCTCCATGGCTGGGA